ATGACAAACTCACCCCCACCACCTTGCCGCCACCGTAAACCACCGACAGAAGTCGCCGTGAGCAGCTCACCTTGATCGGGAGGCCCCGATATGGCCTTTTTTGGCCATATTGATGGCTGAAAATGGTCAGATCTATTCTGGTCATTGTCGGCCAGATTGATGGGTTTGGCTGTTAACAGACAGACCCTTAGCCTTTATCAGCCAAATCTGGGTGAGATCTGGTCGTTAACGGCCACGGATCTGGCCATTAACGGCCAGATCTGTTCCGACCGGAATAGATTTGGCTGTTAATAATCAGATCCATGGCCGTTGACGGCCAGATCTCGCCCAGATCTAGCCGATAAAGGCCAAGGGTCTGGCCGTTAATGGCCAGATCTCGCCCAGATTTGGCCAATAAAGGCCAAGGGTTTGGCCAATAAAGGCCAAGGTTCTGGCCGTTAAAGACCAGATCTACTCCCGATATGACTTTTCAACCATCAATATGGCTAGAAACGGCCATATCGGAATCTCCTGGTCACGGTAGGCTACTCACGACGACTCCAGGTGACTTCCGACGACTTCCCATGGTGGCCGGTGGTGGTTTGGCTAGCGGTAGGGGGCAATAGGTGGGTGGGGGTGGTGGCTTGGGTAAGCTGAAATTTGTTTTGATTTCAAGGGTAATTTTATCCAAAAATTAATTAATTTGGGTGAAATGGTAAAAAAAAAATATTCATGTAAATAAATTTAAAAATGAGGGCATTATTGTCCTAAAATTTTATTAATAAGGGATAAAATTGTAAAAAGAAAAAAAAAGATTACCCAAGTAATCTTATAATACCTAAGAAAATTGAGGTAATCAGATTATCTCTAATATTACCAACAATAACCACTATTGGTATTTGAAAATTACCGATATTTTATATTACTTGACAATCAAACATGGTAATCAAGTAATATAAGATAACTTAACTCCAGTAATCTCACATAACCCCCAACCAAACGCCCCCTTAAGGAATTTTAGTTCAGGCCAGGACAAGCACAGGGATCGTCTTTATTTTCGGGAAATTCTCAATTAGGTCCTTGCTTAATAAAAGCAAGAGTTGGGCCGAAGACAAAACTGCCTAATTTGTTCGAGGAGAGAGATGGGGATCCTTAGCCCGACCATTGATTATTTCTAAAGTTGTAAACAAGGTTGTCTTGTCTTAATAAAAGGTGAGGCCTTAGTTTAACCAATGATCTTAATATCTACCTTAACAGCATATATAAAAGTAATTAAAAAATCATTTTATTTATAAGAAGAAAAAAGAAACTCATTTTCTTATGTTTTAAACTTTGATAGTAAATGAGGTTTGTTTTGAAAAAACTAAGGATTCTATTAGAGTATATATATATAGACTTGAAGACGTAATATCCAAAACAGTGTTAAATCTTAAAATTATATACAAAATTGAATATTTCTCCTTTGATCATTTTGAGTTCATTATTTGAAAACAAAAACTAATGGAATATGGAATGCATGCAGGAATCAGGTCAGATTTATGGCTAATTGAAGATATTTAGCATCATTGATCAAGGCATTTCAAGTAATTGATTGATGATGAATTGAAGTAATTGATTTCCTTTGTTAGCCCTTTAGTTTTTGTATAAATTCATCACTTGTAAAGTGTACAACACAATTCAATATACAAAAAAAGATATCGATTGTATGATCTAACAAAGAACATATTCTTGGTTTCTAGAGATGTCATATTTCATGAAGACAGTTTCCCCTTTATGGATAACCCTATCTCATCTAACATTGATCATCAGCAGTTGTCTCATTTCTTGGTAGACAACCCATCCACATCTCCACCGAGGCCTCTTTTTACCATGCATCTTATCACTAATATGAGTTCACCTACTATAGATTTTGATTTTTCCCTATCTAATCCAATTTCTACAAAATCTCTTTCATCTAATGACTCTTCAGAATCTCCAATGCCAGATAATACAATTTTGGATCCTGAACGTATTCAACGACGGCCTACACGATCCATCCGACCTCCCATTTGGACAGCTGACTATGTCTGTCTCACTATATAAACTACTTCAGGTACCTCTTACCCTATTTCAAATTATGTTAGATGTGACTGTTTCTCTTCTGCACATAGGGTATGTGTTAGTCAGATTTCTACCAATCAGGAGCCTTCATGCTACGCTGATGCTATCCCTTATGCACATTGGCCTCAAGCCTTGGGTGACGAAATCAATGCCCTTGCCCAAAATCGTACCTAGGATATAGTTTCTCGTCCTTCTTACTAGAAACCGATTTGATGCAAATGGGTTTACAAGTTCAAACATCGTGCTGGTGGCTCGATTGAATGGTACAAAGCTCGTCTCTTTGCAAAGGGTTTCACTCAACGTGAAGGTTTCGATTATCAATAAACTTTTTTCACAGTTGCCAAACATGTTACCGTTCGAGCTTTTTTGCCAGGTTCTGCTGTACGAGATTGGTCCCTACATCAAATGGATGTCCATAATGTCTTTCTCCATGGAAACCTTCATGAAAAAATTTACATGGATCTCCCTCTCAGACTTCGCCGCCAAGGGAAGAATAATGTATGTTGTCTGTGACAGTCTCTTTATGGTTTAAAACAGGCATCTAGACAGTGAAATGCAAAATTTACAAAGGCATTTGCTAGCATCAGGTTTGCTCAATCTATACATGACTATGCACTTTTTGCTCTCACTGTTTACGTAGATGACATCCTGATTACAGGAAATGATGAGATTGTCATCCGAGCTTTAAAAAAGTATCTCAATCATCATTTTCGCATAAAAGATCTGAGAAAGCGAAAATATTTCTTGGGAATTGAGATTGCAAGATCTCCAATAGGTATATCTCTTAGTCAACGAAAGTATGTTTTAGAGCTTGTGTCAGACTCTAGACTCTTAACATGCAAACCAAGTGCTATCCCTATTGAACAAAATACTAAACTCACAACTCAACAGTATGATAATGAGACATCATCCTTAGAAATTGATCCTCCATTAAAGTATCTCTCTCAATATCAGAGGCTTGTGGGAAGAATTATCTATCTCACCATGACACGACTAGATATAAGTTATGTCGTTCACATCTTGAGCCAATTCATGCATGGGCCAAAGCAATCCCATATGGATGCAACAACTAAGGTGCTAAAGTACTTAAAGGGATGTCCTGGCTTAGAATTTCTCTTACCTCGAGATGGGAATTTGGATATCACAGCATATTGTGATTTAGATTGGAACATGTGTCCAATGACAAGAAAATCGCTCACTAGTTTCCATGTAAAACTAGGAGGATTTCTTGTCTCCTAGAAAACAAAGAAGCAGTTAACAATATCGCTTTCTTTAAAAGAAGCCGAATAAAGAGCTATGCCAAAAATAACATGTGAGATTGTCTGGATCCTTTGGTTACTAAGAAATTTGGAGGTACAAACAGGAAAACTTGTTAGCTTGTATTATGATAACAAAGCTACCAATGACATTGTAGTAAATCCTGTATTCCATGAGAGCATGAAGCATATAGAGATTGACTATCATTTTGTTAAAGAAAAAATTTAGGAAGTGATCATCAAAACCATGCATATTTGGACTATGGAACAACCAACAAACATCTTTATAAAACCATTATGCAGTCGTTAGCATTCATATTTACTTCACAAGCTTAAAGTTTTTGACATCTACAAACCATCAGCTTGAGGGGGGAGTGATGGAATATGGAATATGGAATGCATGCTGGAATCACGTCAGATTTATGGCTAATTGGAGATATTTAGCATCATTGATCAACTCTGATTTCAAGTAATGGATTGATGCTGAATTCATGTAATTGCTTTCCTTTTAATTGTATTTCCTTTGTTAACTCTTTAGTTTTTGTATAAATTCATCACTCGGGAAAAGTACAACACAATTCAATATACAGAATATAATTGAAAGTATTTCTTTACTCTTTTCCCTTTGGCATACTTCGGCAATTATATTGCCTCTCTTTCTGCCTTGATTCTTACAAAAACAAAAAGATTTTGATGCTTTAAAGCCAGCTGGTGTGCAGACAAAACCATTTTTTTTTATTTATTTAAACTTTTGCTTTATTAGTAAATTAAGGTGTGATAACACAACATCCCTCCAACCTAAATATTCTTCCGCTTTTGTAACTTATAATATAACACAAATAAAGATGATTGATGGATACGGAGAATCACATAAAGACACATTATAATCACGTGTTTTGTACCAGAAATGATATATAATTATCCCTTAAAAATAAAATTTATAAGCTGTCTAGTTACTAATAAATTGATGAACGTATCTCAAAGAGATGAATAGTTAGCAATTCATAGAGGCTATATTTCCTAACTACATTCTTCACCACAATATATATTATTATTATTTTTTTATTTTTTTAATTCCTTTTTTTTTTCGTACATTTCCATTTGCTTAGATAACAAGGAAAAATGATTTGAGATATCACATTTTTTACTTTTTGTTTTAAATATGGCCCGTCTAACAAGTTCTTTTTGCTGCAAGAATCTAGAATCGAAGCAATAATTATATAATCACTTTATTCTTGCTTTACTATTACAATAGTAATAAAAATTGAAAAGTAATAAGAGAAAGAAAGAAACAGTTTGGTTAATCCTTTTGCCCCATTCATGCAATAAACAATAAATTCCAACAATCTTCCGAAAAGAGGTCCTGCAAAAAACGTTAGTTTATCAAATTAAGGAAGTTCTCATATGCTCAGTTGTACCCTTTATTATACTGTGACTTTGGCTAAACATACATGTCTTTACTTTACCTTTATACTATACTTCTTCCTAAAATTTCCGTTACTTCTAGCTCAAATAACAAATAAAGCAACTAATTTAGCATCTAATTAATTGCATATAGTGTAGTGAAAAGATAAAGGCAGTTTTCGACTTTAATTTATGCTTCCCTCTAGGCTTTATATCTATATTGACTCAGCATCCTCCAATCAATCTTTATATACTTACTGAATGATCCATTATTTGAAGAACAATTTCGCAATTATCGAAATTCAAAGACTTCACGTTATTCATCATGTAAGTGATTGTTGAATGTAATCTTTATATTGTCTTTGAAATTTTTCTAGTTTAGGTATACAACATTAAGTGCTTGTTTGTGGCCCGTTTGAATTGTTTTGAACTACATATTTATGTGTCATTCAGGTCACAGCAGTCTCAGTCTCAGTCTCAGCTTCAGGCTTTTGATCCAGAGACAGGGAGTGATCCCAGGCAAGGTGGAAATCGTCAACACATTTTGGATAAATTACTACCTTGTTATGCCAGGCTACCCCTAGCCTTGCAAAATACTCTAAAATGGATGAGTGAAAATTTTGAAATAGAATCCAACTTGGGACGCGGGCTATATATTGCGGCTTATATGATTGTTATCTTTATGTATCCTTTCCATTACTACGCTTATGTGATCAAACAAGATCAAAATTGTCTCGAAATCGACAATGAATTATACGCCACGATTGCTGCTGTCGTCTTCTTTAATGCTTATATGCTGCTCTATACTCCCAATTTTTTGAAAAAAGTCTTTGCACCTGGTCATGGTCATTATTCTAAAACCGCGATTGGACATTTCATCTTTACTCAAATACCAGTATTGTTGATGACATTGGTAAGGTCGTCAATTCTTCGACAGCTAATTTTGTTTTATAATGTCATCATAATTAGAGTTATTAAAGTTTAAACATGCTGTGGTTTTTGCAGACAGTTATTCCTGATTTGACAACGGGAACGACAGACAAGATCTTTTTGACGACAGCTAACTTGTTTCTTTTCGGATATATTCTACTGGTTATTGGACTGTCATTAACTATTAAATATGCTACTGAGGGTACTGAGAGTACAGGCTATCTTGCCCATGCTAAGTGGGCCAATGCTGTATACAATCTTTTTCTTTACCTACTTGGAGGCCACGTAAGTCAATTCAGTCACCACTTATTTTTGTTAATTTACTTGAGTACCGCAGATGTCACGATTTATCAACAAAATTCAACACATAAACACTACATTGGTATTCAATTTAAAACTCATCGTATGTATTCGGTCTGTTTGATTATTGGTTTTAAAACATCTAAAAAAATGCATTTGATATTCTGTTTAAAAATTGTTTTCAAATTTAAAAATTTGGAAAATATGTTTGGCATGTATAGTATCTTAAAAGTTAAAACAGTGGAAAATTGTTTATACCTTTCTAATATGGTCTTGAGTATAGGTATTTGGTGCGTTATGGTACTCTTTTGCTGTCGATAGAATTTTGGCGTGTTGGAGGGAAGACTATTTTGCAACGAATAAATTTAATCCTCGTTCTTTCGTCTGTCGTGATAAACATAAGAATATAGGAGAGCTAAACTGTCCTAGATTAACAAAAATTGCTAGCGAGATCGCAGGGTTTGGAATATTCGAGGATGCTCTTAAGTCTGGTGTTGTGCATTTCAAACGCCAATTTCTGAAGAAGTTTTTATACTGTTTAAGATGGGGCCTGCAAGCTCTCAGGTTTGTACATATGAAAATATAATTACTTATCTTTTCTAAATTAACATCTTAAATATTTTTTAATAAGTACAGTTTAGAAGCTATTAACTTTTAATTCGATTTTTTAATAATCTATTTTATAAAAGGATATTTTGAAAGTATCAGCTGATTTTTAAATGTATGATTCCTAAAATACCTTCATAAAATAATGTAAGTTAGCAAAAAAAATAAATAAATAAAAAATAATAATAATAATAATAATAATTTAAGAAAAGATTCATCATTCAAGTCATTGTCTTTTATTTATTTATTTATTTTTTGTGGATATTGTGTTTGTGGTTTTTCTGGCAATGTGATTTGATTCGAATATTAATTAGTTTTGAGTTGCTGAAAAGAGAATAGAGATTGCAAATTTTGAGCTTAATTGTTATATGGAATAAAATCTTTGTTTGCAGTTGTTTCGGCCAAAACCTGTTACCAAGTACATTTATCGTGGAAAATATTTTTGTGGTTTCTATAATCATCTATTCCACGGTGCTGTTTGTCTTTTTAATCGGAAATATGCAGGTTGGTACATGTTCTATTTATCTGAGCATGCTTAAGATTGAAGCTCATTAAATTTAATTTCTACTAATGTCGATTCCGGCAAAACAGACATATCTGGCACCCGAAGATAAGCAGACGGAGTCAGAGGAAAAAAAAAAAGAGACGTCGGTTCTATTGCCTATACATGAGGAGATGACGTTGTTTCAGGTACAAGAGCCGGAGCAGTGGACTTTAATATTGAAGGAACAAACGGCGGAGCAGTGCGTGTCCTTCCGGAAGCTCCGTCAAGAATTGCAAATGGAGGTGATAAACAATTTGCAGCTAAACAAATGGCGAGCAACCAAAATTCTTCACATAGAAACTTTGTTCAATATTCTTCCTGAGGATCTCCTCAGAGACATAAAGATCGAACTTTGCTTACCGCAGTTGAGGAATGTGAGTACCTTTGTTTCTGTTGACTTTTAAATATTGAATTTAAATCTTCCAGCTTTGGTTGGATAATGGATGTATTCTCTTCCTTATTCTTGAATGTAGATCAAGGTAGAAGAGTTTCGAAACTTGGGGGAACTAGCGTTGAAGGATCTGTGTTATCATGTCAAGCTAGTTTTCTATCTTGACCGCACTCTGATTTTCCGGGAAGGAGACCCGATTACCGAGATGCTCTTCGTGCTGCACGGAGAAATACGGACACACAACTCCAGAGGCATTGGTTATTTGAAAGATGGTGGATTCTTTGGGAAAGAACTTGTCACCTCGTTTAATAATCAGGCTGAAGCCTACTTATCCAGCCTCCCAATCTCACCAAAAACTGTTCAGGCGATTACGAATGTGGAAGCCTTTGTTCTCATGGCTTATGACTTGAAGAAAGTATTTACTAAGCACAATCAGCAGCAAGCAAATTAAACCTTTAGATGATTTCAGAAGGACAATAAATATACTGGTCAGATATTTTGATTAATTGATTTATGATTTATCAGGTATAAAATATAAAACATTCATCAACTTGTTTGAAAGGTTTTAGTAGTGGAGGCAGAAATAAATTAATTACTCTGTGTGAAGTGCTATTTGTCTTTAAAATTTCTTGTTGGACATGTGGAAATGTACTTTGTTGTGTGGCATTATTATAAGTTCTATTAATTTTATGTCACTTTAGAGCAATATCTCGAAAGATTTCACTTTATCTTTTTTTTTTTTTTTTTTTTTTTTTTTGGGAAAAAATAAATTTTATAAAAGAAGAGAAACTATATAAAAAAAAGGGCATACTCTCATAAAAGGTCTAAAGAAGACCATTACAGATGTGCTCATCTTTTTGGAGAAAAGGATGGGAACAACCACCCAAAAGTGAGCACGTAGGCTCCAAACAAAAGAGGGACATGGGCCCAGGCACCCTAACTGAGCTCATAGGCTCAAACCAAACAGAAAAGAGAAATGGGCATAGATGCCCAACCAGAGCACATAGGCGCAGAAAAAACAAGACCAATTAGTTAGGCAGGTTCCAAATGGCTCTAAGCTAAGGATGGATGGAATACTTGGAGGCTGGGTCAAAGGCTCGCTCTCGAACTATGGAAATGATCTCATTGGTGATCACACACGAGGTTTTGCTCTCATGGCTAAACACACGGTTATTCCTTTCACACTAAATGAAGTAAACTGTGGCAGCGAGGACTAACTGTGCAAGGAGATGTCTGAAGTCATCCTTGCGTCTATGATGTAGCGTCGTCCACCAGAATAAATTTTTCCAAGAGAAAAAAGGCCAGGCTAGAACGGTTTTAGAAGAAACCTCTCCCCAAACCGACGTTGAGAAAGCACAATTGAAGATTAAATGCTCATGAGTCTCAATCGTAGAGCCACGGAGGACATAGTCAGTAGAACCAATAAGGTCATGGGCCTAAAGGCAATCCATGGTATGAAGCCTACCTTGAGTGGCCAGCCAAAGGATAAAGGTGTGCTTGGGGATATGCCTTGGAAAATACAAGAGATGGTGTAAAGAGTTCACCTCTCGCTTGTCCCGGAGCAGGTTCCAAGCTGAATCAACGTAGAACTTGCCAGAAGGGTGTCCCTTCCAAACAACGTAGTCGTTGATCTCGAATCTCAAAGGCTGAGATGGAATCCCAAATCGGTTGAAGAGTTGGATCCCCAATAGGAAAGGCCCAAAATGCCATCAACAATGATATCAGAAACTCCAACATCCCAAGGGAGCCTTATGGAGGACAAGAGCCTTGAGTAGTCTCCAAACACATGAGTGAGAATGGCTACCTATTTCAAGTCTAGATCCATTTGATTCCTAGCCCCCCTTGTTTCTTCACATAACAGAGAGAAACCTAAGCTATTAGCACTAGAATGAGAAAGAGAAGTGCCCTTCCAAAGAAACGCATCTAAAATGCTCTCAATCTTCCTCATAGGGGCCTTCAGGAGAATAAACAGAGAAGACCAGTAAACCTAGATAGAGAAAAGGACTAACTTGATCAACTGTAGACGACCAACGTAAGTCAAGGTGGCCGATGTCTAGAGGTGAATCTAGGAAATAATCCTCTCCAGTAAAGGTCAACAATTTTTGTGCTTGAGTTGGGTGGAAATCATAGGGACTCCCAAATAACGAACCAAAAGCTCTCATAATTGAAAACCCAAGATAGACTACAATTGAGAGAAATCCTCTTCACTAACTCCAAAGAGAAATAAAAGACTCTTCTTGGATTAGTAGTTAAACCAGAAAGCCAAGCAAAATCATCCAAAGCCGATTTGATCGCTTTGACTGAGACCTCATCGGCATGACAAAACACATTCAGATCATGTGCAAAGCATAGATGGGTAATACCTGTCTGCTTGTATCTCCAAAGATAATGAAAACTAGGGGTCTAAGAAGCCTTTCTAAGAATGCCCTGTTAACCTTCCATGGCCAACACAAAAAGATAAGGAGACATAGGGTGCCCCTGCACTCCTCTGGAAAGGAAAGAAGCCATGAAGCTCCCTATTCAGACCAACTGAGAAAAAAGGGGAAGTCATGCATGCCTTAATCCAAGTAACCATTTGATCCGGAATACCAATTGTCTGAAGCCCCAAAAGGACAAAGTCCCAACTTACAATATCAAAGGCCTTACGAATATCAATCTTGAGAGCACATCTTGGAGAAGGAGTCCCAATATGATAATTATGTAACAGCTCATGAGTCAGCAAAATGTTGTTCGAGATCTTCCTTCCTGGAACAAAGGTCGACTGAGGGCCTCCAATGGCCCTAGGTAAAACAACTTTAAACTGATTAGCAATAATCTTAGAGATGCATTTGTAAACCACATTGTAGCAGGAAATCAGTCTAAAGTCACTAATGTGCACCAGATGCTCTATCTTGGGAATCAAGGAAATCCAGGTGGCACTCACACATCTAGGAATATCCTTGGTGGTAAAGAAGTGTCTCACTACACCCTCGAAGTCATGACTAATAAAATCCCAAGCTCACTTAAAAAAAAAAAAAATAGTGTAACCATCCGGGTTGGTGGCTTTATCATCCGAAATTGAGAACAAGGCATGCTTGATCTCATCATCCAAAATTGAGAAGTTGGTTGTGCAATATGTTCCTTTTGTTGTGCGCGGCTCAAATTCCAACACCTTTCATTGTTTAGTTTGAAGGAAAGTATGATTAATGAACCTAAGCAAGAGATGGTCTAAGATAATTGGAGAAATGATTGTGAAGAAGTTGGAGCTACTGTAATGTAAATTGTGAAGGAGTTGGTATACTGTAATGCAGTTTTTCTATTGAAAAGTTAGCAATGTAAACAAAATTCATACCCAAGTACGAATCATATACCACAAGCCAACATAATTATGCCATTTCTGTGTTTTTTCTCTCTCACTAATTATTTGGATAATAAAGAAGATACTTTATCAAATCAATAGTATTGAGAGCATTAGTTTTGGAGACTGTAAGTTGTAATTTTTTAAACCTTTTTTCTAAATCCACTAGTATTTGTTAGATATTGCATGCACTCTCATCTTTATTCCTGAATGTCTATCAAGGTCAAAGAGTTTCAAAACTGGGGAGAACCAATGTTGATGTAACTGTGTTCTAATATCAAGCCAACTTTCTATGTGATCGCACTCTCATTGTCCGGGAGGGAACCCAATTAGCCAGATTCTCTTCTTGCTGAATGGTGCACTATGGACATACATCTCCAGGGCCACATATCATTACAAGAATGACAAGGATCATTTGGAAGATGGTGATTTCTTTGGGAAAGAACTTGTCACTTGGGTTCAACGCCTTCAGGCTGATTCCTAAACATCCAGGCTCCTAGCCTCAACCAAAACTATCAAGGCGCTTATGAATGTGGAGGCCTTTCTTCTTACTACATTTGACTTGAAGAAAATATTCATTAAGCACAAGCAACAACAAGTAAAGCCAGAGATTAATCCTGAAGGACAATAGATTAGTCATATGAGTTTTGATTTATGACATTTCAAGTGTGAGATAATAAACATTATGTTGATATTTTTGTCAAACTTATGTTATGGTGGACAATGAATTGTTGAACAAATATGTGCAAACATCGTTCTTCTGTGCAAACATCTACTGTCTGACACATTTTGTCATGTGGCGTTTTTTCTTTGTTGTCTTATCTTGGCCATCAAGCTTATTTTGATTTATGATATTCTTGTGTGAGCTAACTTTACATGTGTCACAATTTCCTTATGTGGTTCTAAAATGTTGGAAGGCTTTGTCTGTGGTCTCGCAAGAAAGAGAAAAGATATTTTGTGGTCTAACAAAAAGTTGGAATCCTTTTTGTGCTCCACATGTTCTGCTACGTCGAGCTTATGCTTTTTTCTTTTTCATTTCATAGGTGTGCACAATGGATATGTGCTTGCACACTTATCTCAGATATTTGCTTGTTGCATTTTATTTCGTGATTTACCTTGTGTGTGTGCACACGTTTCTGCTATGCTAACATCGCATGTCTAACTCATTTTTCACAAGTTACGTTTTTATCTTTATCAACTGAGATATTTTTTGTTCATCTGTTGTGCTATCATGAGGACCACCTACAGGTGTCCCAATATCGTCTTGTGATCCAGGGAAATAAGTTTTTTTCTCTTCTGGTTGTGGTCTCAAAAGATAGATTAAATGTTTTCTATTTTTGGACCAACATATGTCAGCCCTTATTTGCTGACTTGGCAAGAATTGGGGAGCACGAAATTGATCTATATCATCTTTATTCTTGGTCATTCGTGAAATAACCTTTTAATATTTGTTTTGTTGTGCTCTGAAAATTTCAAAGAGTTTTCCTTGAAAGGTTCAACTTCGTTTTTGTGTCAAACTTCCACCATATCTCATATACTTGATTGAATGGCTGCTGGAACTTGGTTCCATTAATGTTGATGCTGGAGTGTGGCTTCAGTGATTGAAGCTTGGGTGGAGCTCAAGTGTTCCTCGAGTGTGTTCCCGGTGTGAAGAAGATCCTTGGAGCAACAACGTTGGGGATTCAGAGGGTGATGCTAAGTGTAACTAGAACAGAGAGTTCTTTTTGCTGTAACTTTAATCAACTCTGAGTGATATCTTGTAATGTTTGTTGACTTAGTGGATTAGCTTCAGTCTGGACAAGGTCCCATGGATGTAGGCTATGTTAAACAATCCAAAGAAATAATAAAAAAAGAGGAGACTAGGGTTTCATTGATACTACACAATGCAATTGAATACAAAAAAAGTATGATTTAACCTAAATACAAAGATATATATAGGCTAAACAAAGGAAATAATGAAAAGACAGATCCACCCTTAATAAGCAATAAAACAAAATAACCCATATTTCTTAACATCTCCCCTTAAACTCACGATGCGGCGGCTACAAGCATCGAGAGTTTGCTAACTAGAAAACGAAAACGGGAAATAGAATGCAACTTGGTAAAGAAATCTGCAATCTACAAAGAAGAAGAAACAAAGGGCAAGGTAATGGTGCCATGCTTGAGGTGATGACGAGTAAGGTGACAATCGATCTCAATGTGCTTAGTTCGTTCATGAAAAACCGAGTTGTGAGCAATCTGAATAGAACTCTGGTTGTCACAATACATAGGAGTGGGATGAGAAAGAGAAACTCCCATATCTGCAAGTAACCAACGTAACCAAACAATCTCTTTGGTAGTAGATGCCATAGCACGATATTCTGCTTTGTTTGAAGATTGAGAAACAATGGATTGTTTCTTGCTCTTCCAAGAAATAAAAGAATCACCCAAAAAGATACAGAAACCAGTAACAGACTTGCGATCTGTGGGATCACTGCCATGATCAGCATTAGAGTATGCACGCAACTCCAAGGAAGAGGTGGATGGAAGTAAAAGACTTTGAAAGACTGAACCCCAAAGATACCGCCAAATACGAAGAACAGCTACCCAATGAACTGTAGTAGGAGAAGCAACAAACTGACTAACAATATGAACAGCATATGCAATATCTGAACGAGTAATAGTGAGATATACCAAACTCCTAACAATAGTATGGTATAAAGTAGGATCTGACAAAGGTAAACCATCAGAAGAAGAATACTTTGCATTAACCTCAATCGAAGTATCTACGATTTTATTATCAGTAATTCTAGCCCGCTCAAGAATATCTGCAACATATTTCGACTAAGAGAGAAGATAACCTCTAGGTGAGTAGGCTACCTCAATACCCAAAAAATATCGTAAAGAACCCAAATCCTTCATTTCAAACTGTCTAGCTAACTCTTTCTTCAAAACTAAAATACCATCAATATCATCACCAGTAATAATCATGTCATCAACATATAAAGATAGAATGATATGACTTGCATCAGTGCACTTAACAAAAAGAGCAGAATCATGACTACTAGAAGCAAATCCAAGAGAAGAGATCACAATAGAAAATTTCTCAAACCAAGCACGAGGTGCTTGTTGAAGACTATATAACGCTTTCTTCAGCTTGCAAACATACCCAGAATCATGTGAAACACCAGGAGGGGGCACCATATAAACTTCTTCTTGAAGATCTCCATTCAAGAAGGCATTTTTAACGTCAAGTTAAGAGATATGCCACTGACGAACCGAAGCTACTGCAATAAGAGTACGAATAGTAATCATTTTTGCAACAAGAGCAAATGTCTCCTCATAATCTATACGATACTGTTGAGAGTACCCTTTTGCAACCAACCTAGCTTTGTATCGCTCAATAGATCCATCAGAATTAGTCTTAATCTTATACACCCAACGACAACCAACAACAGTCTTACCAAGAGGTAAAGGAACCAAATCCCAAGTACCTGTCTTATGCAAAGCAGAAAGTTCCTCATCCATAGCTTGCTGCCAAAGAGGAACAAGAATTGCCTCTTTATAGGAAGAGGGCTCAGAGAGACAATGAATAGAAGCTAAAAGGGAAGCAAAAGATGAAGAATAACAAGAATAAGCAAAATCTGGTAACTTTGTGGACTTACGAATGCGTATGGATTGACGTAGAGGTGGATCCATAGTCTTAGACGGAGCTTGAGGGACCACAGGAGAAGAGGGACCTTCAGGTGTGCCGGAGAGTAAAATGTCAACACCTGCAGAATGATCAGCACTAGGAACCTAAGATGACAAACTATCAGAAACCTCAGAAAAAAGGATCTATACGAATTAGATCAGATCTAGTCAAGTTATGAGTAGTGGATGGAATAGAAAAGAAAGGTATATGCTTAAGAAAAACAACATGACGAGACACATAAAATTTCTGAGTTATTGGATCAAAACAACGATACCCCTTTTTACCTTCACCATAACCAAGAAAGACACAAATAGCAGATCGAGAGGACAACTTGCTGCGTTCTACATGAGGACGAAGAATGAAACAAGTACAACCAAAAACTTTTAAGAAAGAATAATCAGGGGCATACCCATACAACTTTTCGAAAGGAGAAAAACCTGAAATATGAGAAGATGGAATTGTATTAATCAAACCTACAGCAATAAGAATAGCTTCACCCCAAAACACACTAGGAATAGAAGCAGACAATAAGAGAGAACGAGCAGTTTCAACAATGTGCCTATGTTTTCTTTCAGCAACACCATTTTGCTCAGGAGTATCTGTACACGAGGTTTGGTGAACATTTCCATCTAATGCAAGCAACTCACAAAATTTATTAGAAGTGTATTCCCCACCCAAATCGCACCTAAAACATTTGATAATAGCAGAATATTGAGTTTTGACAAGAGCTCGAAAGGCTGTATATATCTCAAAGAATTCAGAACGATGTTTCATTAAATAAACTCAACAATAACGAGTATGATCATCAACAAAAGAAACATAATATCAAGACTCTCCTTTTGTGGCAATAGGAGAAGGTCCCCATACATCAGAATGAATCAAATCAAATGGAGAAAAAGAAACAGAAACACTTCGATTAAAAGGTAAAGCTAAAAATTTTGCCAGTTTACATCCACTACAATCAGAAATATCACAAGTTTGCAAATTTCCTAAAGCACCTGTAGATGCCAAAAATCTCAAACGAGAAGACGAAACATAACCTAAACGAGAATGCCATAAATAAAAACCAGAAGAAGAAGGACTCAAATGAAAAGAAGACAAATCAACACTAGTAGCGACAGCATTAGCACTAGCAGCAGCAGCAACAGCAACTGGCACTTTTAACTCATCCAAAATATGTAGTCCCCCATTCCTACGGCCCGTCCCAATCAGCTTCCGAGACTGTAGATCCTGCACATAACAAGAAGAAGAGGAAAAGGTGACTAAATTACCAGAATCACATAACTGACCAACAGAAGCAAGATTTAATGTAAGTTTCAAAATATGATAAACATTAGAGAGAGACAAGTGAGGTATGACAACAGAACTAACACCTGCTAAAGGCATATGAGTGCTATCAGCAGTCATAACAGGAATAGAAGATGAAGGAGACACAGAAGCAAAAGATGAAAAATCTGGAGACATATGATGTGAAGCACCAGCATCCAAAACCCATACAGAATGTGACATACCTGAAGAACTATGAGGGAACTGACCTACTGAAGAAGAAGCAGACATAGCTTGTGGCTGTAAGGAGAGAAACTTCTGAAATTGCTCAGCCAGAGTACTAGGATTGGTGAAAGGACCTGATGAAACTACTGTTGCAGTATTAGACTGTGGTGGTTTGTAACCCTGAGATGGTCGATGAGCATTAGATTGTGACTGGTTGCCAGGCTTCTAAGCTTGAGATTGCTGCTGCGATTGATTTTGCTACCTCAACTTAGGACACTAAGCCTTCCAAAGACCTTTTTGCTTACAGAAACTACACTCGTCGAAGGCAACCCTTGTGTAAGGCTTATTCTGATTATTAAAGACTGGCTTCGAAGGTATTGCCAACACAGAAGGATTAGAAGTAGAAAAAATTCCCTTTTCAGAGTGAGACTTAAGACGTATTTCTTCAGCCAATAACTCACTGACAATTGAGTCAATAGAAAGAAGTGGAGAACGATGCAAAATTGAACCTCTAAGTCCTTCAAAATCACTGCGAAGTGCCGTTAAGAACTGTACCAACCGTTGCTGCTCCCTACGAACAATATAGGCACCACATGCCTTTAACTCTTCAGATTCTATAAGAGCCAATTGATCCCAAAGATCTGTCATAGCAGAATAAAACTCATGAACACTCATATTCTTCTGCTGAAGAGCTCGTATGTCACTCTTCAATTGATACGGCTTTGCAAAATTTGACTAAGTAAATAACCTTTGCAAATGATCCCAAACCTCCTTTGCTGTCTCATACTTCGCCAACTGTGTACCTATGGAATGCTCAACAGAATTGTTAATCCAAGTAATAATTTTTGCATTGTTTGCTTCCCAAGCATCTATCAAAGCATCATAACCCTCATCAGTATTCTTAGGTTTCACAGAAGTTCCACTAACATATCCCCACATCTTTTTACCCTTAAGAAAATTTCTCATCACATAACTCCAATACGAATAATTCTTGTCATCTAACCTCACACTCATAGACTAAAGCGAATCGTCTCTTTCAGTAGTCATATTCAAAAAACAAAGAAAACCAGAATGCAAAAGAAAGGAAAATGAAATACCAGATTGCAGAAATTGAATGAATACCAACGAAATACCAGATTGCAGAAACTAAACAAAATACCAGTTGGATCCGCGTAAGCTGTGTTTAAGATTAAACTTCGTCCCATGACACCTTGCTTTGATACCATGTTAAACAATCCAAAGAAATAATAAAAAAAGAGGAGACTAGGGTTTCATTGATACTACACAATGCAATTGAATACAAAAAAAGTATGATTTAATCTAAATACAAAGGTATGTATAGGCTAAACAAAGGAAATAATGAAAAGACAGATAAAGATATATATAGGCTATATATAAGTTCAGTTTGATGATCATTAATTTAACCATGTGCATTTCTGACCAGAGCATTAAGAAACTTTCTATTTTTCTGTCATAGAAAGAGAAATTATTTGCTGGAAGAAATTTAAAACAATTTACGCTAGAAATGCATGATCATAATTCTCACCATCAAGATGACAGTTTAAAAGACTGCAGATTTCTATATGATCATTTTTACCCAACAAATTAAGACCAGTATACATATTTTAATATAAGTTTGGGGTTATAATTTCTCTCATAATCAGCTATTACTTCAAATGTGTTTTGTAAACACATTTAAAAAATGATTATAAAAAAAGAAATTGTTACATAATCTATTTTATTGAGGGACTTCAAAAGTAGCACTTTGTAACTTCTAGATTTCAAAAGTTGCTTTTGGGGGAGTTAATTACAGAAACACCCCAAAGTAAACTTAAATTATGAATTTCTTTTATTAAAAATAAAATATTAAAAACAGAAAATTTGAAAACTGGCTGGTGGAGTCACTAACTACTAACTAGCTATTGCCAACGGGGAGTAGGTTGATGTTGTTGATACCTTTATACTTGCGCGTTGCCGACCAAGGTGATTTGCCGACAATGTTGTCAACCACGATGACATTTTGTCATAGGAGTCTAAAAAAGTTCAGCCAAAATTTTGTTGACCTGTTATGGAAAAACACTGTAGTATTTGATGACACCATCAACCCCATTGCATAGATTTTGTAGGTTAACGGATCTCTTAATGGCAGCGGAAATTAAAATTTTTATTAAGATCCACTAACACTAACCCATGATCTTTACGCCAATTACATTATTTAATATAAAAACATCAAACCAAATATAACATATCGTACAACGTTGAAGGTTCCTTTGATTTGATGATGGATTCGCAAACCACTTCAAAGTAGAAGTGCACTCCCAGTATCCACATGAAGATAGGACTACTGTCGTTGAGAGACTTCTAAGCTAGGAATATCACTCAACTATAGGAACTATTTTTTGCAGAATTTTTCTTTGAGAGAAAAATTCTTCTTCTCACAAAAAGGGTGGCGTTTTTTAGAGGGGGAGAGGTGGCTAAGGTTTCAATTTTCCAACTCAAATCACTTAATGATTTAATTTTTAGTTGCAATTAAATAGTACACACTAAAATCCTATTCCGACTTGGAATAGTCATCTATTCCAATTTGAATAGCAAACAACTTATTCTACAAAGGAATAGATTCCCCTTACAACTCAAACATGGCATTTCAATTCAAATTTAAAAACCAAAATTTGAATTTCATATTGTCAATATTAGTAATAAATATTAATATTAGATAATGTCCATTATATTTGAATTCATATATATATATATATATATATACATAATCTCACTAATTTAATTTTCATATGAAATTAAATTTAGGCAACAATTTTAGCAAATTTAATTACACTATAAGATTACCAAAATGCCCTTTCATCATAAATGGCAAAAATATCATTTCATCATAAATGACGAAAATACCCCTCTCACGAAATATATTCTTAATTTTTCTTCTATATGTGTGACCCGAAGGCTCCTCATCGTATCAGTAGTGAATAGTATCACAATTGACAATCAATCAATTGTCCCACTTGACACGGACCAAGGCCTCTAGCCAAGCATCATGGCCACCCCGATAGATTCGGATTCAACAAAATTGATACCTATCAACGATATGGTTACTGTGCAATTTAATCCTTTCATCATCTATTATCTCATAAAGGCTGAGACATAGAAGTAGTGTCAACCTCTGATATCCTTGATATCTTGGTATTCGGTTATTGGACCAACACCGGAATAGATTGGATTGAGCTACAACTCAATCCCACTGTGACCACATATTTAATGTCGTTGCCATCTACCGAATTAGTCAGTGAGATAATTTCTCCTATACTCAGGAGTGATGAATCCTCTTTCGATCCACCATAGTCTCGATACTATTCAATGCATCCAACCACTACAGTTTTGATAGTCATGAGAAGACTACGTTGGGCTAGTGTCAATCTATACTAATTGGTGTACAAAGTACTTCGGTGATCTCAAGACTAAGAATCACATGCACCACCATTCATTGGAGGATTTGTTCCACAAACACTGGGGTAACCATCTATGTGGAATCCTCTGGTGGGTCGGTTCAGTAAACTTGCCTACAACAAGCACCTATGTGTTGTAATAGGTTGTCACCAAACAATCTTGACAAGTGAGATCTATCACTGCCTTTCGACAGGGTCGTCCAACAATATAATAGTCTTACCGTATTATCTATGTCCTAGGTTAGGATAATATTAGGGCTATAGACGTTTCTAGAATGACCACCATATGTGTTCATAGGGTTCTCACTATCGAGATTTCAAATACTCGATGTACTTGTCACGATTCTACTACCCTAAGGATATATACCATTTTTTTTATACGAATACAATCAAATCACATGATATAGATAAATGCCTTTATTGATAATAAAATATTATTACAAAGAGTTAATTTACAAAATAAGATTGGCTCTAAAATACCTACTCTAATAGATTGTTAGCCAGCAAGTATAATGGTGTTGACGATGTCAACTTACTCACCACACAAGAATTCGACAATGACTGTGGCAGCCATCATCTCTAGTTGAATCATCAGCCAGTTTCTTACTTTCAAAAATTTTACACTTTTTATTTAAAAGAATTAAAATTTTATATGATTATTAATTAAAAAGAATTAAAATATCTATGGGCTTGTTGCATGTCAAAATCAAAAGTAATTTTAAAATTTAATAAAATAAACACCACACAGGTAGGGATGAAATAATTCTTTTGGGTACTAGCCCTGCCTCCGGCTGAGGATGAGGTGCCAAAAACTGAGTGCGGGTCAGGGTCCCAGGGATAGGCCTTTAGGTTCATCCCTGAATTAATTTCGGCCTGAAAGCCCCAAAATGTCTAAAAAAATTAAATAAAAAAATTCTTTTAAAAGAATTGCAAAACAAAACAAATGCTTTGCTCCTCCAGTGTCTTTCATTGAAAATGTATTTTATATCTTCTACCTATTATACTTAAAGAATAAATATGTTGGGTGCATAAAATTTATTAAATATAACTACTAAAATAAATATCATATTTTGTTTACCGTACAAGAGATATTTCATATTTGGTTACATATTTATTTAAAACCTTGAAGAAAGATTTATTTTTATTTTTACGAAATTTGAAATCTATTATTTGTTTAAATATTTCCTTAAAGCCTATAATTAGAATAAGTGTTAAGTATATATATATATACACACACGTTTATGAAATTTTTGGTCAAATTTCTAACTAAATATTTTATTTCCTTAAAGCTTTAAATGTTTTTTAAGTTTTAGGGTGTTGATACGAAAATTCGCACCAACCTAAGAGAATCGATTGACCTGGACGGAATCGAAACGGATGTGTGCGTGATTTAATGAAAATCAACAATGGAATATAAAATACGGTAATAATGTAAAGAACACAAGGATTTTTAAAGTGGTTTGGCAAGTAAGAACTTGAACCTACATCCACTATTATCTAATTGCTTTTGAGAGCTTACCATAACAAGTAATTTATGCCAAAACAAATTTGCTAACCCCTCTCTCATCGTTTGAGGGGGTTTTTATACAAGTTGTGATTAATGGAAAGAGAAATAAGTTCGAGATTGCAATCAGAGTTGATTTGCAATCTTGTGATCTTTGTGATTGAGTGTTGAGATTGCGTTGCCAGTGGTATTGATCTTATCCCTTCCGAAATATCTGAAATTGAAGCTTATCTTTGATTTCGTTGAACAACTGTTATGATTGGTTGTAGTGATGAGCTTCACCTGGGTCGAGCTTACTCTAAATCCAACTGATTTTGGGTCTAGCTTGCTCTTGGGTTGAGCTGATTCTGGGTTGAACTATCCCTCTAAGCTTTAGAGATCTGCGAGCTCTTATGACAAAATGACACATAACATCTACCCCTAATGTTTGGAGGTTGTGTTGAGCTTTGAAGACTGAAGTTGTTTGATTTGCCACCTAGATGCAACTCCTTAGTTTCGTGTAACTTGCATATAGGTCGCTGAGATTATCCTAGCTTCAACACTTGACCTTAGCTTCATCCGACGTTCTTGTGACTTAGCCTCTTGTTGCAATGCTGTTGAATTTGAAATTTGAAATGAGGGGTACATGGGTAATTTCAAAGCTGACACGTAGTATTAAATGTAGAAAATTTTTTGCAGTTACTTTTCGTCGCAAGTGGACTATTACAGTTGGCCATGCATAGAAGCGAAATGAGAAATGACGTGCGTTGCTACTTGCAGAGTTGAAGTGATGTGTGCTGGCGGTTATCATTGCTCGATCCGATGGTTGATCACCCTTCTGAGATCATTGCCACCTGCACTCATTGATCGGTCAAGATTGCTCAGCGAATAAAGGGCTAAGATTCATTGCAAATCAACAACGTAGATTGAATCCCACTATTTTGGCTTCCCGCTCGCCACTATAAAACAGGTTGTTTTGCCCTTAATCTTCCATTCGTGCAATCTTGACTGCTTTTTCACTTGCTCATTTTCTTTTCTGTTATCTTCACATCTTGCTTTCACGACGACTTTTCGAC